CTTTCTGCTCCCTGTTCTATGACATTCCCTGAGACTTAAGTGTAGAGGTTGCATTGTAGATCTAACATGTGAGTCTCAAGGGGACATATTGTTAGCTTTTTACTATATACTCACGTGGTTATTCCTTTGTATACATACATCCCTGAGGTTGTGTGTGTGTGTGTGTGTGTGTGTGTGTGTGTGTGTGTGTGTGTGTGTGCATCATATTATAAGGTTGGGTTAGAGACTACCACAAAAGTTTTATTGTAACTTAATCACCTCTTTTATCCTGAGGTACTAGAGGTTAGCGATTCAATGTATGAATTTGGGAGAACAGAGTTCAGCGAAAAACAGATTTCAAGTAATGAACTATACAAGAACAGTTTGGGCACATAGTAGTGGTGCTCACCTGTAATCATAGCACTTGGGAGGCAGGAGTTAGTTCCAGGCCTGCAAGTTCAAGGCTAGCCTGAGCTACATAGCAAGACATCTAAAAATAAAAAATAAACTGAGTCAGGGCTGGAGAGACGGCTCAGCGGTTAAGAACACTGGTTGTTCTTGCAGAAGACCCGGGTTCAAATCCCAGCACCCACATGGCAGCTAACAACTATCCATAACTCCAGTCCCAGAGGATCTGACAGCCTCTTCTGATCTCTGAGGGCATTGCACTACACGGATGCACTTACCTACATGCAGGCAATACACGCATACACACAAAATAAAAATAATAAAATTTAAAAAAATAAAAATAAATAAACTGAGTCAAGTATGATGGTACAAACATGTAATCCCAGCACCTGGAAAGTGGAAGCAAGAGGATTAGGAGTTCAAGGCCAACCTCAGCTACACAGAGACCCGGTCTCAAAAACAATGAAAGTTCAAACACAGTGGGAACCATATAAACACATAATTGATTTTTTTTTCATGGTGCTATAGAGCAAATCCAGGGCCTCGCACATACCAGATAAGTGCACTATCACTGAGCTACACCCCCAATCCAGCATTATTGCTTTTAGCAGGAAATATGGGAAACTAATAAAATACCCACAGGAGGTGTTATCTGGGCCCATTTCTACCTTGAGACTCTCACGTTGATAAACCATCGTCTTTGAAAATATATTTATTTTGTGTATGTGTTTGGGGGGTGCACATGCCACCGCACATATGTGGAGGTCCGAGGACAACCTGTTGACTTGGTACTCTGTTTCACCACATTGGTGCTGGGAACTGAACCCAGGTCCTCTGCAAAAGCAGCAAGGTCCCTAACCACTAAGCCATCTCTCCAGCCCCTGTAGGCCATATTTTAAGCCTCAGTTCCTAATCCATTTAAAACACTCCTCTCTTGGGGCTAGAAAGGTGGCTCAGTGGTTAAGAGCACTGGCTGCTCTTACAGAGGTCTCAGACCTACTTCCCAGCACCCACATGGCAGCTAACAACCCTCCATACTCCAGTTCCAGAGGATCCAACATCCTTTTCTGACTTCTGTGGATTCTGCACAACATGGGTGCACTTACTTACAAACGAGCAATACATTCATACACATAAAATAAAAATAATATTTTTTAATTATTGAAAAATAAGGGCTGGAAAGATGGCTCAGCAGTTAAGAGCACTGGCTGCTCTTGCAGATGACCCAAGTTCAATTCCCAGCACCCACATGGTGGCCAATAACCATCTGTAACTCCAGTTCCAGGGGATCCGATGCCCTCTTCTGATCTTTGCATGCTTTGCACAACCCAGGTGTAATGCAGGCATTGAACTCATACACATAAAATAAAAATAATAATTTTAAAAATAATAGTAATAATAAAATAAAATAAACTACCCTTCCCTTGAAGAAGTGCCCTAGATCCCTGCAGTGAAAGAGAGATGGAATTGTGTTGATTTAGTTCCTAGGTAGTGTAAATGCAGGAGCGTTGGGGTGGGGCTGGCAGAGGGGGAGCTTTCTTTCTTCTGTACCTGGAAGTGACCACAGATACACTTCCTTCCAACAGGGGTCACCAGAGGCCACAGGGACCAACGCCAGGCTTCTCAGAGGTGGCTCCAGGAAGGAAGCCAAGAATGTTAGTGCAAAGGTCAGTAATTCAGCACTGACCACGGAGATGGCGCCATCACAACCCCATCACAACCCCAGCACTCTTCCTTAGCCCCTCTGAGGCCAGTTCAGATGTTATCTGCTAACCTCAGCAGTCCACCTGATGCCATGCCAACGCCTGCTTTCTTTTTTTAGTATTTTATTTATCATTTTTATTTTACGTGTATGAGTGTATTGCCTGCATGTATATAAGTGCACCGATGTCATGCAATGCCCATGGAATCCCCTGGAACTGGAGTTGTGGACAGTTGTTACCTGCCACATGAGTGCTGGGATTTGAACCCAGGTCTTCTGCAAGAGCAGCCAGTGCTCTTAACCACTGAGCCATCTCTCCAGCCCACAATGCTCACAATACCCACAATGCCTGCTTTCTTAGTGAGTCAAGGCAAGACCCAGCCAGATCACAAGATGGCCCCTCCCCCTTACCTTTTCCCCAAATTCCCAGGCCACCTTCCAAAAGGACCCTTACCTTTCCCTGGCTTTCCAAAAGCATCTTCCATCCATCTTCCATCCTGCTCTCAGTCTTATTTTACTATAGGAAAGAGGGAAAGCAGAAGAAAGCTGTCCTAAGAACACAACGCCTGTGTCTTCTTTTCTTCTTTTTTTTTCCTTTTCTTATTATTTTTATGTCTATGAGTGTATTGCCTGAATCTGTGTAAGTGTACCCATGTCATGCAACATCCAAAGAGATCAGAAGAGGATGTCTGATGCCCTGGAACTGGAGTTACAGCCGGTTGTTAGCCACCATGTGGGTGAATGGAACCTGGGTCCTCTGCAAGAACAGCCATATTCTGACATCCATGGGCACTGCAGGACATGGGTATACCTACCTACATGCAAGCAATACACTCATACACATTAAATAAAAAGAAATAAAATATTTTTTTAAATGAAGGCCGAAATCAGCATCCATGTCAATCAGCCTCTTCTAGCTGATGCCGACCTGCAGGGACACATGAAGGCCAAGGACAGCAGGACACAATTATTCTGAAACCAGAAGGTTTAGCCAAATTCCTAGATTTTAGAATGGCAGCATTTATCAAAGTAAAAGGAGATACAGGTGCTGTGACCTGGTCATTGATTTCTGAAAATGACACCAGTGTCAGCAGGGAACAGAGTTTGACTCCCCCCTAGTCAAGCAGTTTTTAAGTGTCATACCAAAAGTAAATAAAGGTTGAGCAAGATGGCTCAGCAGGGAAAGGCGCTTGCCACCAAACCTGAGGACCTAAGTTCAATCCCTGGAACCCACAGGGTAGGAGAACCAATCCCTGAAAGCTGTCCTCTGGCTTCTGTATGTACACTGTTTCATGATTCAATCCCCCACATCACAGACACACACACACACACACACACACACACACACACACACACACAACCAATAAACCTTTGTGAAAAGTTTTTGACAGTAGCCAACCCTCTTTCCTTGTATCCTAGGACACCAAAAGCACCACAGGAAGCCAAACAGGAACTCCAGAGCCTGCCAGCGATTTCTCAAACAATGTCAACTAGCAAGTTTTGCTCTGCCCTTGTAGCCCCGATGAGACACGCTCAGTCAAAAGCAGTGATCAGCCCCAGGGCATGTTCTTAATCTCCCATTCCCCAGCCTCACCTCCTAAAGCATTCCAGGGCTCCCTAAAGGCATTCTCTCCCATCACATTCACTGTTGTTCCCTCCACCACCTTCCCTTGTCAATCTTTTCTTGTGCCGTCCCCTTACCCTGAAAGAACCTAGGAAACCTCAGCCCCCTAGCTGGTCTCACTTGGCCTCAAATTCAATCAGGAAAGTAGCAAGAAAATCAATTTAGAGGGGATGAAAAATCAGTTCTTTCAAATAGGGTCTGTTAACTCATGAAATCCAGATGACCTCTTTACCTTTTATTTTTTTTATTTTTTTGGGGGGGGGGTCTTTTTGAGACAGGGTCTCCCTGTAGCCCCAGCTGGCCTGAAACTCACTATGTAGACCAGGCTGGTCTCGAACTCACAGAGATCCGCCTGCCTCTGCCTCCAGAGTACTGGGATTAAAGGCATAGAGCTTAAGAATGTGTAGACAGCCTTCAGCATTCATGACAGCTATCACTGTCGTCGTAGTCACCATCATCATCATCGTCGTCATCATCATCATCATCACAACAGCAGCATCGTCCTCGACAGCATCATCACAACAGCCTCATCAGAAGTCACTGCGTTCTGTGAGTTTCCAATCTAGTACAGGAGATATATACACAGAAACACAGTTCAAGGCAAAACAGTGTGAAGAATCTCAAATGCCATTCCAAAAGGTTTTGAGTCTATAAAAATAGGAGAATGATTTTTTTGTTCTTTAGCATGGGTATAAAATGATCAGAGTAACAATATAAGATAATTCAGTTGGCAACCAGTTGCAGCAATGAACAAAGAGAAAACAATTATTATAACTATAGAGACTCCTCAAGTGTTTCCCCAGTATCAGGAAGAAGAAGAAAAGAAAAAAGAACCATGGTGACATGCATCTGTAATCACAGCACTTGGAGGAGGATCAGGACTTTGAGGTCAGCATGGGCTACACTGCGACCCTATCTCAGGAGGAAAAGAAAAAGGATGGGGAAGACTAAGTTAGGGTGCTTGCCTTATAAGAAGGGTCACTGCTTATTTTAACTGAGTGGTGGGTGGGGTGGGGCCCTATTTATGACACAAGAGGGCAAGCCCCTCCCTTTTAGTAAGAGAGTACTGGGCACACAAGCCTCCTTCCAGTCCTAATCCCTCTCCCTAAGTAAGAGGTTCAGAGTGATCGCTTGGCACAGGAGTGGGGGGCCAGCAGTGATATACCCACTAACCAGCTGCCTTATAAAGACAGACCAGGAATGCCAGGATGAAGGAGTAGAGCCCAAAGGGAGGTGCCATCATGAGAGGTCTGTGAAGAGGGAAGCCTGAGGGGTAGGGGAAGAAGGATGAAGGCTGGGAGACCAACCTCTCTCACGAGGGAAACTGCAACAACAGAGCCAGGTTCCACCTCAGTATCTAGGCCACACTGGGAACCTGAGCTACACCAGAGACCTACAGTCCAGCCAGAGCCTGGGCCAGAAAAGATACTCACAGCCCAGCTAGGATCCAAGACTCTGCAGGAATTCAGTTCCCAACAGAAACAGGGACTCCAGCATGAGCCCACTGCCCAACACAAAGCTGAATTCCAGCAGGAACCTAGAGCGCAATACAAATTTGCTTTGCTCCAGAAATTTCTTGCCCCATTAGCCTCCCCTGCACCACAGCAATCATCCTCCAACCATAGCATGCACATGGATCAACCGGAAGCTACCTCCCATCAGGGACCTGGGCCAGTGACTACAACTCCACCAGTACCACAGTTGAAAGAGGGACTTGAAGCACTGCCAACATCTAGACCAGTAGAACCATCTCTAGCTCAACAAGAAGCTGAGTCAACATCCACAGCCCAGGTCACACCTGAATCCAAAGTGAGACCCCCTACCCAGACTGAATCTACATCCCAAGAAACACCTGAACAGTCAGCGCCTACAGCCCAGCCAACACCTCCAGTCCAAGGAACCCAATCCAAGAATAGATCTTTGAACGAGTGGGAATTTTTAACAAGATTGCATGAACTATCCATACAGCGAACAGCCCAAGAGTGGAAGACGTTTTTTGACTGGGTCACAGATTCTGATACAGAAGATTTGAATTCATCTTCAGAGTCAGATTCTTCAGCCCAAAAGAGTGGGACAGTGACCCCAGGAGCCTTCAAAAAGAAACCTGATTATCAAACCGTGTCAGGATATGGTGGAACATCGCCTTATGGGAAGGAAAACAGCATCCAGAGTCACAAACACTACCAAGGCACAGGTGAGTCTGAACCTGGAGGACTGGAACCTTCCAGGGACATCAGGTCATCCATCTGTCAACAATCTTGTGAGAAAAAGACCAACACCCCCAGTTTGTAGATAAGGGTGCTGAGGCATAAAAATCAAGGATCTTCCACAAGGTCCTGCAGTTAGGAGCAGCAACCCAGGATTCAAACCAGGTTTTCTTCCTCTACACCAGGCTGCCCCCTACACGGAATTTGAGGAAAATCAAATTGAGCTAGAAAAGAGTTCTAGCCCAGGAAACAGGACAAGGCACCCTCCTCCAGGTATTCATTCATTGGCCCACAAAAGCTGGCCAAGCTTTAGCTGTGGGGCAGGCACTGGGGTTACAGCAGCAGCACAATGCTCGGTGTAAGCCTCACCCTTCGGTGTCAGTATAGATAAACTGAATATCCGGGATGTTCACAACCTCTGCGTTTACCAGGTCGGGCCTGTGCTGCCAGGAATACACTGGCCTTCACTCCCAGTCGGCTGCCTCCATGGGGACTCAGTTCAGGAGGAATGACCTTAGGACTGTCTCTCAATGAGTTTCTTGGGGGTTTGGGCTGCCCATGGTGGGTAAAGCAGTGGAGTCCTGATTCTTCCCATGAGGACACAAGGAAGGTCATAATCCTGGGCAATGGTGGTGTTTCCACTAAGGGGCCTGTCCCTCCGTAAAGGCCTGGCCTGTCTTCCTCAGAAGACTGAGCAGTTAGCATTTCAGCGCCAAGGTGGTTGTGTGCTCTGGGAGGAAACTGAGGCTTACTGTTCCCAATGCAGAAGATGAAAAACTGTTTCTCAGGGTTCCAGGACCGTCTAAAGAAAGAGGTGTGGAGATCGCTGCTCCTCACTCAGTAGGCAGTTGCCCTTATGTGCATGCACCTCCCTAGACACTGCTAAGGAGACCACTTGGCAGAGTTGGCCATACGGGCATGCATGAGCTTTGTGGCCTCCTGTTTCCCATCTCTTCCCAGGCACACCAGCTCACTTTCAGTGGGTTGACCCCTTGGCTGGAAGCTGCTGGGAGACAGGGGGTCAAGAGGGGTAGGGGTGACAAATATTTTCTTTCCCTTCATCTCTTTGATTCTAGATTAGGAGAGACATGACCAAGAATAACCTCAAGAAAGATAGAGCAATATAACTAGAAGAGAGAGAGGTCCTGTGGGTGGTGGCTCAAACCTGTAATCCCAGCATTGGGAGGTAGTTGCTTTGCTGAGAGATTAAGGCTAGCCTGGGCTACAGTGTTCAACTTTCACTAATCACAAATAACAGCAAAAACAAAAACTGCTGGGAGGGACCCAGGCATGCTGGTGCTTTAATCCCAGCACTCAGGAGGCAGAGGCAGGCAGATCTCTGTGAGTTCAAGACCAACCTGGTCTACATAGTGAGTTCCAGGCCAGCTGGGGCTACAGGGAGACCCTGTCTCAAAAAGACCGAAGGGGGGAAAAATAAAAAAACGGAGAGGAAGAAGTCGGGGGCTTCCCCTAACGGCTGCCAAGCACAGCCACGCCCCTGTGTTGGCCCTGCCCCTGATGGAGGGCCTGACCCCCATATCCCCATACCCCCTAGGGGAGACTGAGGAGCCAGCTCTCCCCTCTCCTCCTGGCAGGTGGGTTGGGCCCACTTCATGGGAAGGTGCACCTGCATGTGAGCCCAGGGGTTCTCAGTTGGGGTGACCCCCTCGGGGCTCCACACCATCCCTGTCCCAGATGTTTTTGCCTCCTCCAGGGTTGCAGTGTGTGTGTGTGTGTGTGTGTGTGTGTGTGTGTGTGTGTGTGTGTGTGTGTGTGTGTGTGCGCGCGTGTTGGCTGCGTCCCTTTAACGCGAGAATGGGCGGAGCAAAGCCTTCATCCCCACGCCCTTTAAGGAGGAGTCCAAAGAGGAGCCAGCCCGAGATTGGATGGTTTAGGGGCCCGGCGATGGTGTGTAGTAAGGATTGACTGTTGGGGCGGGACTTGACGGCTGGCACTGGGCCCGGCGCCGGGACCGCGGAGACTTGATGGAGTCAGTCCGGGAATTGGGGCCCAGGGGGGTCCAGGCCTCGAAAAAGACCAAAGACGGGGCAAGGAGCCGCAGTCGCCGGCGGTGGAGGAAAGCCAAGACCAAAGGTGAGCCGGCCGCGGGTCGGAAGCAACAGTGCACATCCCGCCGGGCACTGCGGACGGGGTGGACTGACCCACTGCCACGAGGAGGGGGGAACCGCGGACTGAGCCATTGAGTCCTGCGTGCGGGGACCATCTATTGTGAGAAGGGAGCTGATGAGAGCGGAATGTCTCACCTGGGCCGAAGGGCCATGCGGGCTGCCCCAGCGCCCTCCTGGGAGCACAGTCCGGAATGCCTGTAGGCTGGAGTACAGCCCCCGCTAGGGCTCGGTATTCCCTGTGTGACCAAGGACAACAGCTGCCCTTGCTGCTTTCGGCCAGGGAAATGGTTCAAGGGCCGATTTTCAGGTCTTCGGCACTCTTGAGAGGATAATGGAGAAGGGGTTTAGCTGCTGTTAACCAAAAGAGGAAGTTTAGGGGTGAGTCAGGAAAAGGTAGAGGAAGGAGTACCCCCTTAATGGGAAAAGCTCATCACAGCCCCTTCATCCCACCCTCAGTCAATCAATCCATCTGTTCTCAGTCCACCAGCTTGTCAGCTCATCCCCACCCGGACTTAGCTTCCTGAGCTTCACTCCTTCCAGGACATGGGGGCTTTAAACTGGCTTTGGACCTTCACACCTTCCCTAAGGAGAGGGATGGGCTGTCATTTAGGTTCCCCAGATCTAGAAGGCTGGAGAAATCTCAACAGACCAACAAAGAGGTTGCAAGGCTCAGGTCGGAGCAGGCATTACGTCCTGGCTCAGTTATGAGTCTTGTCTGTTTTTGTGGTACTGGTGATAGCCAAACCGGGGGCCTGATAAAAGACAAGCCCAGGGCCTGGTAAACGTTAGACAAGAGCTGCACCATGCAGCTCCACCTGCAGCCCATGAGAAGTACCTGTGCAGGAACTGTGCATGCTGATAGCAGTATCTGACTTGGAGAGCTGTTGTGTTTGACCCATAACAAACCCTCAGGAGAGGTGGATGTGATAATACTACTGTTAGACCCCACCACGTAGTGAATTCCCTGTAAGTGGGGTTGTGTCTGCCTTGTTTACCTAGAATGCCATTGCCTAGAATGCCAGGCACATGGACATTCAAATATTTATTGGATTGATAAGTGAAGGAATGTGTGAAGTGTGACATGGGGATACTAATAATCATGCTTCCCTTGATGTTGCCTGGAGGAGTCAGAAAGAATCTACCTGAGTAAGGCTCCCTGCACAGCTATGGCCCAGCCAAGCCTACTCAGAAACCCAAGGACCTACCAACTCACAAAGGCTCTCTATGAATTCCCTGTCATTTCCTGAAGCTCTTCCTGGTGCCAGGGCTGAGACAGGTGAATCAGACCCACCCCTGCTCCAAGGGTACCCAGACTGGCTAGAGCAGTCTTTGTTATCCATGTGATCTTGCCAGTAACTGGATGAGGCTGCTGTTATTATGATCAGCCCATTTCCCAAATGATGACACTGAGACTCGGAGCCTTCCTTACCCTAAGACAGAGATGGCCACCTTCAGCCTTCTCAAAACAGGGAATAGGGAAGTTGGAAATTACTGTGTGCCCCAACCTTAATTCTGGACCCAAAAGGCTCCAGATGCATAGATTCAATCCCCAGACTTTCACTCAACACTTAGTGGTGCCAGACCAGGCCTTTCTGTGACTAACAGGACCGACTCAGTGGAGCTGGAGACACAAATATTAATCAAATCAAACTATTGTTGCCAAGCATGTGGCACATACCTATGATCCCAGCACTTAGGAAGCTGAGTCAGGAGGACTGTCAAGTGTTCAAGGCTACGTAGTGAGTTGCAGGCCAGTCAGGGCTAGAGACTCTGTCTCAACTCCTCTCACCCTCCCCCAGAGGCTATTACTGTGAACAACACAATGTGATAAATCCAACAAAAGGAAAAGGCCTGGGGCTGGGAATACACCTCAGTTGGTAGACTGCTTGCCTAGTATGCACAGAGCGCTAGGCTCTATCTCCAGTACCACATAAAGTAGGCATGGTGGTTACATGCCTTTTATTCAGAACTAGGGTGGTAGAGGCAGGAGGGATCAGAAGTTTGATGTCATCCTCGACTACATAGTGAATCTGAGGACAGCCTGGGATACTTTAAAAAGGGAGAATCCTGAAAAATGAAAGAGAGAAGCTTCCCAAGGAGGTGACATTAGAGTCAAGAAAGGACAGACATTCACAAGAGGGGCAAAGAGGACAGCATAGGTAAAAAGTCCTTGAGGCTGGAGGAAGCAGCAGGTGACAAGGCAGAGAGAGCTCTGAGAGGGAAGGAGGGAGAGAGGGAGGGAAGGAGGGAGGGAGGGAAGGAGGGAGGGAGGGGGGGAGGACAGGGGAGGCTGGCCTCTAGTTTGCTTTGGGAGGCCATGTCCAGGATAGAGGCTTTATCCTGAGAGACAGGCAGGGAGGTATTGAAGGGCTGGAAGTATGTGATCAGATTTGTTTTCAAAAGATCCTCTGGATGCTTTGCAGGAAACAGACTGGACAGAGGCACCCAGAGAGCTTTACATTCATGCATGCTGTGGTGTGGACAAGGGAGGAGGCAGTGGAGGTGGGAGATGGGCCAAGTTGCAGAGCTTCCTAGGACATGGTAGATGGGACTAGCTGACAGACTAGATGGGGATAGGGTGAGGGAGATGGCCAAGATAATTCCTTAAATCTCTGCTTGAACAAACAGCAAGTTCTGTTCTCAGCATACATGTATAGATCAGGACACATCCAAACATGTACATAGATCTTTTGTTTTGTTTTTGTTTGGGTTTTTTTAGGGGGGTTGGGGTTTTGGGGGGTTGTTTGGTTTTGGGGATGTTTTTTGGTCTTTTTGAAACAGGGTCTTCTTGTAGCCCCCGTTGTCCTGGAACTCACTATATAGACCAGGCTGGCCTTGAACTCACAGAGATCTGCCTGCCTCTGCCTCCCGAGTGCTGGGACTAAATGTGTGCACCACCACACCTGGCACTTGTTTTATTTTTTGAGACATAGCATTGGCTGGCCTGGAACTGGCTCTGTAGCCCAGGCTAGCCTCAAACTCACAGAGATCCTCCTGCCTCTACCTCCCGAGTGCTGGGACTATGCCTAGTCAATTTTGATGCTGCTGTTTTTGTTTTTCTTTTCCTCTCACTAATGAGGATCAAACTCAAGTCTTGCAACTCAGATACTTTTATGTGTGGTTGGTTGGATCCATGAAAGTGGAACCTATGGAACCCAGGACTAAATGGACCAATACTATGCTCAGTGCTAGAAATATTAAAAGAAAATGTAATAGGAAAGACACAGTCACCTCAGTATAATTTAAGAACAACATAAATATGCAGGGAACAATGAGAATGCATAATAGAGTTCCTGAACTGATTTTTAGGATTAAGCCATATTTTTTTTGTTTTAAAATACATTATTTTTAGTTTATGTGTATGAGTGTATTGCCTGCATATATGGAAATTCACCTGTGTTGTGCAATGCCTGTGGAGGTCAGAAGATGGAGTTGGATACCCCTGGAACTGGAGTTACAGACAACTACTAGCCACCATTGAGCCATCTCTCCAGCCCGTCATTTTTTTTTTAATGTTTTGCCTGCATATAATGCACACATTGCACATGTGTGTACAATGCCTTCAGAGACCAGAAAAGGGTGTTTGATCTCCTAGAACTAGAGTTACAGACAATTCTTAGCCTCTATGTGAGTGCTAGGGATCAAACCCAGATCCTTTGCAAGAGCAGCCAACGCTATCAGCATCTGAGCCATCTTTGCAATCCTGGATTAAGACATATTATGATGTAGATAGAGGGATACAGTGAGACTGGACTGACAATAGACTTCCTTAAAAATACTTGTACAATATCCTTGAGTCAAGCTTGAGTCAGGATAGTCTATTTCAAAACCCTGGATTGTGATATAAGGATAATAAGACATCTTCAAATTCAGCATTCCAAAATTATCTATCTCCATATTTCCCTGGGATTGGAAGAGAGAGTGACTACAAGATACCGAGATGACTCTGAAAACACTTTGTTCTTGAGAGCAGAGATGGATTATTATCAGACAGAAATGACGCAGTGGAAATACCTGCATAGCATATAATGTTCTTTATAAATATGCAGAATTGAGACAGTGGTGGTGGACGCAGAGGTCTTGGTCGGCAAGGCTAACAAAAACAGTGATAAAACACAATGTTTCATAAGTGAATTTGAAATGTATGGCATATTCTCATTTTAAGTGCTTTTAAGTGTTTGCATCTTTCCAGACAACTTCCGAAGCTTTATGGAGCCAGAGAATCTAATAGTTACTTAAAATTCAAGCTACTGGGATTGTCAAAAGAAAACAACATCCAGCCCCTTGTGTTGGGGCTGTCTGTGTCCATGTACCTGGTCTGTGTTGTAGGGAACACTCTCATTACCCTGCCCATCAGCACTGAGTCCCACCTGCCCACTCCAATCTCTCTTTCATAGACATTCGTTTCACTCCCACCACAATCTCTAAGATATTGGTGAACATCAAGGTACAGAACAAAGCCATCACGTATGAAGGTCACCTCACCCAGACGTATTTTTTCACGGCCTTTTCTGTACTGGATAGTGTGTTGCTGACAGTGATGGCCTATGACTTGTTTGTGGCCATGTTACTCACTGCACTACATAATCACCATAAGCCCTCAGCTTTGTGGTCTTCTACTTCTACTATCTTGGCTAATCTGCCTGACCTATTCTTTGATTCAAAGTTTGTTTTGTTTATTTTTATGTGTATAAGTGTATTGCCTGCATGTAAGTGCACCCAAGTCACGCAATGCCTACAGAGGTCAGAAGTGGCCATCAGATCCCCTGGAACTGGAATTAAGGACAGTTGTTAGCTGCCATATGGGTGCTGGAATCCAAACCTGGATCTTCCGCAAGAACAGTCAGTGTTCTTAACTGCTGAGTCATCTTTCCAGCCCCACATAAAATTTTTAAATAAATTTTTAAAAAGAAAAACCTCAACTAAGACCCATCATTGCCATTAACTTTCTAAACTCCCCTGCAGACGGTAAGCCAGTATTTTCTGGAATCTCCAGGGATGAACAGAGTTTTTATGGCCTCATCTATATCTTCCCATGATAGGCAAGGCATAGGAATTGGAAAAGGAAGCCAGTAGTATATCCAGGACCTTCCATGGGCCAAATGCTGTACTAGGTTTTCATTCAGATTAAGTCGTATCTGGGACTGGGGAATGGCTCAGTGATTAAGAGCACTGGCTGCTGTTGCATAGGACCCAACTTCAATTCCCAGCACCCACATAGCAGTTAACAACCATCCATAACTCCAGTTCCAGGGGATCTGACACCCTCTTCTGGCCTCCACAAGCGTTGCACAACCTAGGTGCACTTAAAATGCATGCAGGCAATACACTCAAACACATAAGATAAAAATAAATTGTTTTTAATTTAAAAAATAATAATGGGGTGCACCTTTTAGATGAGAACAGTTAGGGAACACCCCAAGTTGAAGCTTTAGGGTGAGAAAGAGCTGGCTGGGCAAGGAGGATATAGAGGAACATAGTGTCTGAGCCGTGGTTTCCCCATATGTAACATGGAGTTGGCCATCATAGAGAGTGGGCTGTGCAAGGGAAGTGGTAGACAGAGGATGCCCAGTGTAGAAACACCACCTCATAGGACCTGTGGCTCAGGCCCCTAGCTGAGCTTGGCACTGCTCTTAATTGGCTTTTGTCCTCCTCGGAGGGAAAAGCAAGGCTGGCCGCCTCTTTTTTCCCCCTAACAGCTGGGGCTGCCTGTGCCAGGGCCAGTCCAGAGGGTGGGAACTGAGATCACTGAGCCTTTGGCTCCCTGAATCCACATGGGGGAGAGGGGAGGGCAGCTTGGCTGGGGGAGAGGGGACAGTGTGTTCAGAACTAAGGCTGGGACTCCTGAGTCCTAAAGGAGAAGAAGACTGGCTCTGGACTCTTGAGTCTGAGGGAAGAGACTGGGGTCTGGACCCCTGAGTCAAAGAGATGGGGCTGGGCACCAGGACACCTGGGTTCTAAGGAAGAGGAACCTGGCACATGGACTCTCAGTGGAGTTGGAGGGGCAAGCAGGCAGGACACTCAAGGAGTTGGACTCTGGCATCATTTTATAGCATGCGGTTCTCACTATCCTTTCTGGGTAGGAGATGAAGCAAGCGGCCACACCCTAGCCAGGCTGGCCCCTCCCCCAGTTTATCCTAGGCTGCTACTGGCACTAGCCTCAGACCAGCTGTTCCAGCCTGGGGAGCTCCAGTTCGGAAGAAGCAGCCAGGGAGGGGTGAGTGCAAAGCCAGCTGAGAGACAGAGAGGGCCGTTGCAGGAACCTGGGGCCTGGAAGGGAGAGGAGACGCTGTCTTCTAGGGAAACAAGGGCCTGCAAACCCAGGAGGAGCAAGGCAGGGCCCTGGGCTTCCAGAGAGAAGAGTCACTTGGGCATGGTAGTGTCCCCACCAAAGGGTCAAGGGCAGTTTATCCAGGACCTTGGTGACAAGCTATTCAAATAACAGGGTAGCCTGGGGAGAAAAAGGATTCTGGACGAAAGATCACAGAGGACCGACTGTGAATGTCAGGAGCCAGGCATAGCATGGGGCAAGTTTTAAGGGCTAGAGCTAGAAGCTGAGCCTTCAGAGTGCTAGGGGAGGTGCCGTGTGAGTAGCAACTCTGGACCTAAAGATCTGGGTTTGAATTGGCACTCTCCATACAGCCTTCAGCTCCTTACTGAACCTCAGTTTCCCCTCCTGTAAATAAGGGTCCTAGCAGTAATAGAGTTGTGAACCATGGCATTCTGAGGTTTGGGGACTAAACCTTAGCTGGACCTGGCTAGTGAGCCCAAGCTTAGCAGTATGTAGTGCTGTTTGAAGCAGGGGAGCAGAGAATATGCAGTCTAAGGCAGGTGGACAGGCCCGAAGGCCAGGGAACCTGCAGGGAAAGAATGATGCTGAGTTTGGGGGATCCCACTGAGGCACAGAGAGGGAGCTGGCATTGGGAAGAGATTCCACAGGCAAGTTTGAGGGACCAGGAGGGAGTCCTCAGTGTGGTCAGGAAGGAATGATGAACTGAGTTCAGAAGGGCTGAAGCCAGGGTTAGCAGAGTCCTTGGAGACAGTAATGGCCAGACTCGGGGGATAAACTCGCCCAAATATTGTTGGAAGAGAGGAGCTTGTGTATGACACCTGGAAACTAAGAAGGAAACACAGAATGGGGTTCAAACTCCTGGGTCTGAAAAAAGGGAACAGGCTGGGCATCCAGGCTTCCCAGAACCAAGAGGAACAGGTCTCAGGAGAGTAAACAAAGGCAGAAGTCTACTCTTGAATCCCTAGAAGAAAGAAGGAAGAGGGTGAGCCAGCTCCTGGGGTAGAGAAGAGATGCAGAGCTAGCAAGCCAGGTCCTTCTGGGCTCAGGAGACTGGACCCCTAGATCCAGGGGCAGAGGGGAAAGCCATGGACAGCCAGTGTCTAAGTCCCTGAAGAGAGCAGGGGCTTCTGGGTCTGGGTTTTGACTCCTGGGTCTGAAACAGACCTAGGGCTAGAACTCCTAGCTCCTAGGAAGAGAAGCAGGTACTGGGGACTTGGAGTCATGTGTCCTAAGGCAGAAGCAGGATGAGGCTCCGGACTCCTGGAAGGCAAGGGGGTGAACTCCTGGGTCTGAGGGAGGAGGAACCTGAAGCCCAGACCCCTGAGTCTCAAGGGGTTGGGATCAGACCCTTGAGCCTGAGGAAGAAGGGGTATAGAGCTTGGACTCCTGTATCTGAGAGGGAGGGAGGAGCCTGGGTTGAACACTTGGGCCTGAGGGAAGAAAGGTAGGCCCTGGAGTCCTGGGCCTGGCTGAGCAAGGGGTGCTCACAGGCTTCCCCCCTGCCCACAGCTTCAGCATTCTCACATGGTATGGATCTACGCACAATGACACAGTCACTGGTGACTCTAGCAGAAGACAACATGGCCTTTTTCTCAAGCCAGGGTCCTGGAGAGACAGCACGACGGTTGTCCAGCATCTTTGCAGGTGTGCGGGAGCAGGCGCTGGGCCTGGAGCCAATCCTGGGCCGCCTGCTGGGTGTAGCGCACCATTTCGACCTAGACACTGAGACACCGGCCAATGGATACCGTAGCCTGGTGCACACAGCCCGCTGCTGCCTGGCACACCTGCTACACAAATCTCGGTATGTGGCCTCCAACCGTCGCAGCATCTTCTTCCGTGCCAGCCACAACCTGGCAGAACTGGAGGCCTACCTGGCTGCCCTCACCCAACTCCGTGCTCTGGCCTACTACGCCCAGCGCCTGCTGACCACCAACCGACCAGGGGTGCTCTTCTTCGAAGGAGATGAGAGAATCACCGCCGACTTCCTGAGAGAGTATGTCACGCTACATAAAGGTTGCTTCTACGGCCGCTGCCTGGGCTTCCAGGTGAGTCCCTTGCCCCATGTCCCCCTGGGCCCATAGTGAGGGCACTAGTGGCCCATAACCTTGAAGCATAGAATAACCACAGTAATCAGTATCACTGGATTCAGGAAGCAGGCAACAGAAGGCACACACACAATGACACAATCAGCAGGAGCTCAGAGTTAGACTGAGGGGGAGGGGGGGGTCTCAAACTCATGACCCAAACCAGATCTATCATGTGAAAGAAATCATTTCACTAGCTGGGCTTGCCCACTCAGGCCTGTTAAGTTGCAGCTACTTGGGAAGCTGAGACAGGAGGATTGCAAGTCCAAGGCCTGCCTGAGCTACAGAGTAAAATCAAGGTCAGCTTTGGTAATTTAGTGAGATTCTGTCTCAAAAATAAAAAGAGGAGGCCGGGTGTGGTGGCACACACCTTTAATCGCAACACTCAGGAGGCAGGGGCAGGCGGATCTTTGTGAGTTCAAGGCCAGCCTGGTCTGCATAGTGAATTCCAGGACAGCTGGAGCTCCAAGGAGACCCTGTCTCAGACTAAAAAATAAAATTAAAAGAGGGGAGCTGGAGAGATGGCTCTGCAGTTAACAGCACTGGCTGCTCTTGTAGAGGACCTGGGTTGGATTCCTAGCACCCACATGGCAGCTAACAACTATCAGTCCCTAACTCCAGTTCCAAGGGATCTGACGTCTTCTTCTGACCTCCGTGGGCACTGCACGACATGGGTGCACTTACATACATGCAGGCAATAGACTCATAAGCATAAAATAAAAATGATAAATAAAACATTAAGGCTTGGTAGCACACGCCTTTAATCCCAGCACTGGGGAGTTAAAGCAGGGGGATCTCTGAGTTCAAGGCCAACCTGGTCTACATAGCGAGTTCCAGGCCAGCTGTCTCAAAAAGACAAAAAAAATAATAATAAAAAGAGGACTGGGGATATAACTCAGTAGTTAGAACACTTGTCAAACATGCATGAGGCCCACAGTTCAGTCCTCAGTACCAGAAAAAAAAAAAGGAAATCTTTTTATTAGATTTCCCACAACTCTGTTGTCTTAGACCCAAGAGTTTCTCTTTCTCTCTCCAAGTATTAGGGATTGAACCTCGAGCCTCATGTATGCTAAGCAAGAGCTCTACCACTGAGCTACATCCCCAACCCCCATTCACTCTTTTTTTTTTTTAAGTTTGTTTTTTTTTGGGGGGGGAGTCTTTTTTGAGACAGGGTCTCCCTGTAGCCCCAGCTGTCCTGGATTCACTATGGAGACCAGGCTGGCCTCAAACTCCCAGTACTGGGATTAAAGGTGTGCGCCACCACACCCAGCCCCATTCACTCTTTTATGTTACCTGTCTGGCCCCTGTATTAGAGCCCTGTAGGAGGGTGATGAGTATTGTTCTCAAAGGCCTGTTCTATGTGAGTATGCCCCCCTTTCATGTCCACTGAGATTCTGGAAGGGATGGGGGAAGGTGCCAGCCCACCTGTTGCTAAAGTTGCTATAGAATCGTGCTTTCCAGGCAGCCTTCTGGATAGAGCTGACAAGCCTCTCAGAGTTGGTGACCATGAGAAAGATCGCTCTCTTCCCTGAACTAGATATTTTTGACCCTAGCTGTGGGCCTTTTCCTACCCTTTTCCCATCTCAAACCACCTCCAAGAGATTCAGCTTGTCAGCACATGGAAAGTGAGATATCCCAACGCCCTCAGGAGGCTGGAGGCAGGAGGATTATTGAGAGTTTGAGGCCAGTCTGACCAACATCATATGTAACATAGAAAGACTCTGACACAAATTAATTAATTAATTGATTGATTGATTGATTAATTAATTAAATAGAGGCAAAAGTGACTTGGGGACTAGAAAACTGGGGAGCCTGGAAAACCAGAATCAGAGCAGAAGCCCAAGTTGCCCCTGTCTGAGGTCAGTGTTAGCTCCAGGCAGCCCCAACCAGCTGTATGAAAAACTTCAGCAGGACTATCTGGAGCTACGTGATCCTCTCGGGACCTCCTCTCACTTCAGTGATAAATTAGCCTGCCACTCTTTCTGCCTCCCCATCCTGCTCTACCACTCCAGGCTTCCTAGAGGGCCAGTTGGTCCTCAGCAACCCAGAGCAGGTATCTCTGGGAATCCCCCCTCACCCAAGCTAAGCCCAGGAATACTGACCAGCCAGGCAGAGCCAGCCAGCTCCCCACTCTCATGCTCTGACACTGACACTGGAGTCACAAGAAAGAGATCCAGGCTGCCTGATCATTGTCCCAGCCACCCAAGGCCAAGAGTTCCTGCGCTCTCTGGCTTACTGGGCTCCTGGCCAAGAGCATGGCCAGGGCCACCTGCCAGCCCCTTGAGGACCCAGCTCTGCTACAGTGCAGGGCAGCCTCCCCCTGCTAAAAATGCCAGCCCCCACCCCAGGATGGTAGAGGCCTCCAGATCTCAGTCACTGCTCAGTCCCTGCACCCATCAAAGCCTAGCACACTGTAGAACTTGTTCAGTGTTTACAGAATACACACGTCTGCTGACCTCTTGGTTTGGCCTTCTGTGGCTGTTTCCTCTGATGCTGTCTCCACTGTCTTCATGTCTGTCCCCTCTCTGCCACCTGCCACGTGTCCCCCAAAACTCTTTGACAGCCTTCTGTCCTAGGCACTAGCTGACCTCCCCCTATCTGTCAGTACTATCTGTCATGATCTATTTCCCCATTTGTGGCTTTCTGTTGCCCCATACCAGGCCCCACTGCCTGCTTCACCCTCCCTTTCTTTCTGACTTCAGTTGTATGCCCTTAACTCCCCAACTCACAGCCCTCCAGATGCTCCCCCTACACCTTGCTAAGAATGAATCAGATTCCTCAGCCTGGGCCCTAGGCCCTATAGGATCCCTCTTTGCCTCTAGGATCCCCCTTGCTCTTGTCCCCAGCTCATTCTGCTCTGGGTACACCATCATGTCCCCTGTCCCCTGCTTCCCTTCCTCCCCTACTTTCCATTGCTACCCATGCCCAGCATTTGACTTCAGGTCCTACACTCACTCCATCCTCTCCTGGAAGTACCTCTCCCCTCATTTAGATCCCTGCTCCCAGGCCTGGCCAGGTAACCTGACCCATAGTCGTCAGTGCGGCCCATCTACATAGTGCCTAGTGCCTTCCTTCAAATCATTCATTGTTTTTGACGTTACGCCACACATATTTTTATTTGTTCATCATCTCTCTTCCCTTGGAGGATACCAGGTCCATGAAAGCACTCACGGTGATGCCCAGCATAGCGTGGTGATGCCCAGTGTAGCATAGGAACTCAGGAGAGGTTACTAAGTGAATGTGCCTGCCCCCATCTCTGTTCCCACTTGTGCCCTATCCTCATCCCTCTCCTGGGTGGTTGGGTGACACAGGCGTCCCTTCACAGTTCACGCCTGCCATCCGGCCGTTCCTGCAGACTCTCTCCATCGGGCTGGTGTCCTTCGGGGAACACTACAAACGCAACGAGACAGGCCTCAGTGAGTGCCAGCTGGGTCCTGCCCACACCCTCTCCTGTCCCCCTTCCCTAATCCTTCTGAGAAGCCTAATCCAAGGAGCACGAGGGCTCCTTGACACCCCTTCTGACCCCCAGGTGTGACCGCCAGCTCCCTCTTCACTAGCGGCCGATTTGCTATAGACCCAGAGCTGCGCGGGGCAGAGTTTGAGCGAATCATCCAGAACCTGGATGTGCATTTCTGGAAAGCCTTCTGGAATATCACTGAGATCGAGGTGCTGTCGGTGAGCACAGGGCCAGGTGGGAGGGAGCCCACCTGGATGAGGGAGGGAAGGTAATTTTTCTTTAGGGATGCAACCCCCAAGTGATTACCCATGCTGCAGTAGATGGTCATACACCCCTGTACATACAGCTACACAGATGGAGACCCTGAGGCCCAGAGACCCATCAAAACCACAGCTGATCAATGTAGAGTCCCAGGTCCAGGGACAGCACATGAGGGGAAAGACCAGAGTTGGGAGGGGAAGAGGGAAGAGGCCCCACCACCACCACACCCCTCCCCAGCATCTATTCTGTTCCCTCCCCAGTCTCTGGCCAACATGGCATCCACCACTGTGAGGATAAGCCGCCTGCTCAGCCTGCCACCTGAGGCCTTTGAGATGCCGCTGACCTCTGATCCCAAGCTCACAGTCACCATCTCACCTCCATTGGCCCACACTGGACCAGGACCTGTGCTAGTCAGACTCATCTCCTACGACCTGCGGGAAGGACAGGTAGGGCTCCTGACCCTATAAGGTGGCAGCCCCAGCCCAACATCCTGAATCTCTGAGCCTACCCCCTGGGAGGGATAAGGTCCAAGCAAACTCACCCTGTCTCCCCACCCACAGGACAGTAAGATGCTCAACAACCTGGTAAAGTCTGAGGGCCCACGCCTAGAGTTGCGCCCACGGCCCCAGCAAGTACCCCGTTCACGATCCCTGGTAATCCACATCCATGGCGGTGGCTTTGTGGCACAGACCTCCAAATCCCACGAGCCCTACCTCAAGAGCTGGGCCCAGGAGCTGGGTGCACCCATCATCTCCATCGACTACTCCCTGGCTCCCGAGGCCCCCTTTCCACGAGCGCTAGAGGAGTGTTTTTTCGCCTACTGCTGGGCTGTCAAGCACTGTGCCCTGCTTGGTGAGACCCAGGTCCTTGCTGTCACAGATCCTGCTCTCACCCGTGCCCTGGCCACTCTTCTTCAACACCTGTCCTGTCCTGTAGGGGTGCTGAGCCTCCTAGGTCCTTAAGCCTCAGCCTCACCTCCTCTGCCTGACCCGAGCCCCAGCCCACCTTCCCTCGCCTGCCTCTGCAGCTCTTCCACAGGCTACCCCATTGCTCTCTGTCTTCCATCCTGGCTGCTTCATCGCTGCCTCCTGCTCCCTCACTCCAGCCTTTGTTGCCAGTGCCTGGCCTGCTATCTACCTCCTGCTCTCCTACACTGCCATTCTCCTGGTCCTTGTGCCTTCCTCTTATGTCAACATCCTGGGAGGGCACCAGGGTACAAAGCGAGGAGTGGCTCAGTCCTCCTCGCTGTCAGCCTTATCCCTGACCTTTGGTCTCCCAACCTCTGATGTTCCTGCCTTGGGAAACTGCCCTGAGCCTTTTCTTACCACCTGCCCTTCCTCATGCCCTCCAGACTCCCCAACTTCCCCAGCACTTCCTTTCTGTTCCACTTCTTCCTGGTCCTCTGACTGCTACTTACCACATGGGTCCAAATCTGTACCTCGGTTTGCCAATACCTAAAATGGCATTCTGCTTGATCTTGAGTATTGTATGCCCCACCTGACAGCCCAGTCTTCCCAGCCCATGGCAGGCTGTGACCGAGCTCTTCTCCCCTAACCAGGTTCAACAGGGGAGCAGATATGCCTTGCAGGGGACAGTGCGGGTGGGAACCTCTGCATCACTGTGTCCCTTCGGGCAGCAGCCTATGGGGTAAGGGTGCCAGATGGCATCATGGCAGCCTACCCGGTCACCACACTGCAGCCCGCTGCCTCTCCTTCTCGTCTTCTGAGCCTCATAGACCCACTGCTGCCACTCAGCGTGCTCTCTAAGTGTGTCAGCGCCTATTCAGGTGAGGCCTATGCCTTCAGAGGTGCTTGGATGCTTGGATGCTGGGTGCTTGTATGCCTCAGATGCCTCTAGTTCTGAGTGACAGAACTGGGCCTAAAAGGAGAGGAGACCAACTCAGTCCCTCACATACACTCTGCAGGTACAGAGACAGAGGACCACTCTGACTCAGACCAGAAGGCACTAGGCATGATGGGGTTGGTGCGGAGAGACACATCCCTGCTCCTCAGAGACCTCCGCCTGGGCGCCTCCTCATGGCTTAACTCCTTTCTGGAGCTAAGTGGACGCAAGTCCCAAAAGACCCCGGTGCCCACAGCAGGTGAGTAAATGGCCTGTCCCAAGGCACCCATCCAGAACAGCCTAGACAGATAGCTTGAGACAGCAAAAGTCCAAGAGGAGGAAAGGAGCTGAGCCCTGGGACACACCAGGATGCAGAAACCACCTTCCTGGCTGGTTTGATCCTGATCCCACAGTACTGGTACCTCAGTTTTCCACAGCAGACTACATCCTGGACATTCCCAGACTTTTGGTTCTCTAGGTGGTCTCTCAGTCCCATGAATTGCCTCAAAAACCTCCCTGGGGCTGGAGAGGTAGCTCAGGGAGCAAACATGAAAGCCTGTTTGGACCCCAAGAACCATATAAAAGCTGGGTATGGTGGTGCAAACCCATAACCCTAGCACTGGTGGGATGGAGCCAGGCAGAAATCAGTGAGCTCCAGGTTCAGTGAGAGAGCCTGACTCAGAAAATACAATAGAGGGCTGCAAGCTGGCTCAGCATGTACCAGTGCTGGGCAGCCAGACAACTGAGTAAGAACCCCAGAACCCACATAAAGGTGGAAAGAGAAAACCAACTCCACAAGAAAGTTGTCTTCTGACCTCCACACATCCGATGTGGCACATGTACCCACATACACATACCATATGCACTGCATGCTCAGTAATAACAAGTTAAATTAAACCTAAAAAAAATTAATAACACTGGGCATGGCATAGTGGTGCATGCCTTTAATCAGGAGGCAGAGATAGGTGGATCTCTGCGAGATCGAAGCCAGCCTGGTCTCCATAAGGAGTGAGATCGAATCCAGCCTGGTCTACATAGCAAGTTCCAGACCAGCTAGTACTACAGGGAGACCCTGTCTCAAAGAAGAAAAAAATAGGGTAGAGAAGCAATTGAGGAAGAATCCCAGCATTTACCTCTGGCCTCCACCTGCACCGACATGAGCAAGCTCACCCATACACTCATGTACATACATACATATGCACACATAAGTGCTCACAAATCCTCCCTCAGAAAGACCTCATAAGCTGGGAAGTGAATGACAAAGATTTATCACATCTTGCCCTGATTTTCAACTCAAAGCACTCTACCCAAGTCCTTTGGACCCTCAAGCTTTGGTCAAAGGGACACAGGGCTCATATTCCCCAGGAAGGGGTTGTCAGCCAACAGCACAGACCATGGAAGGTGGAGATTTCCTGTGGGAGGTAAGAGGACCTTCCCCGCCATAACATTTAAGAATTTTTTTTAAGCACAATCAATTCAACTCATTTTCAATCATTCAACAGGCACATTCACTGTTCTTGTTAAGAAAATTATTCCTGGACAGGGGATAGATATAGCTCAGTCAGTAAGATGCTTGTAATCCCAGTGCTGGGGAGGGAGAGACAGGCAGATTCCTGGGGCTCTCTAGCCAGCCAGCTGACTCCATGAGTCTCAGGCCAGTCAAAGACCCTGTCTCAAAAAACAAGGTGGGGCTGGCAAGATGGCTGAGCTAGTAAAGGCCACCAAGCTTGACCTGAATACAATCACCAGAATCCACAGGGTGCACAGAGAACCTACTCCTAGAAACTGTCCTCTGGCTTCACACACAGGCACCCACGTGTACACAAAATTAAAAAATTAAAAATGGGGGGTGTTCTGGAGAGATGGCTCAGCATTTAAGAGCACTGGCTGCTCTTGCAGAAGACCTAGGTCCAGTTCCCAGCACCCACATGGTGGTTAACAACCATCTGTAACTCCAGTTCCAGGGGATCCAGCACCTTCTTCTGACCTCTGTGGGCATTGCACAACACAGGTGCACTTACATACATGCAGGCAATATCTCATACACATAAAATAAAATTTTTTTTTATTTTTTAAGGTGGTTGGTATCTGAGGAATGACAACAGAAGTTGACTGCTGGCCTCCACACATATGTGCACATACATACCCACAAGTAGATTATTCAGTTCACGTGTTTTATTTGAAATTTAGGTTTTCATTTTAGGACCTTCAGATGAATACAGATATACACACAAAGACAATTAAGTTGAATCTGATGGTGAGCAGTGGAGAGTTCCCTGTAGGAGAAGGTGACCAGGTACAGTCCCTGGAGACACACTCCATCAGTGCCTCTCTGGCTACTGGGTTAGATATCAATATCCATAACCTTTAGTTTGCCCCCTCTCTGAAATGGGTATGATAAGAGTACCTGCCTGCCTTATTAGATCCTAGTGAGGAGTACTGCACCCATTTGTGTCAAATGCCAACACAATACTGGGCATACATATGTGTTCTTAGAAGATGCCAGAACCCCTTGCCCTGTGTCTACAGTTGTATTCTACCGATTATCTAGGTCTCAGAACACCTAAGTGATTATTCCAACATTGTCTTGAACTTTGCCTTCATGGTTTGATAAGACAAGTTGTAAAAACTGAAATGTTGGGCCAGTGTGGTGGCACACACCTGTAATCCCAGCACTAAGAGGCTGAGGCAGGAGGATTCCATATTTTGGCCTAGCCTGGGCTACATAGTAACACTCTGTCTCAGAGATAAAACCCTAGTTGTAAACAGTGGAGTTCCAATTAACAGACTTGAGCCAAAATGGGCATGCCAGGCAGACTAGATGGGTACATGTGGTCACTTGCTTGCCTGGTTACTTAAAGGGAAGGGATAAAACTGAGAGACATGAAGGATGTTTTGGAGAGCAGTTCTATGCAGCAGCATACCCTGGAGATTCCTGTTTGCTGCTTGTGAACAGAGGCTTCAAGCCATGTGAGCTCATACATACCCTCCTGTCATGTAGTCACAAAAAACTGGCTGGGGGCTAGAGAGACCTCTCAGCAGTTAAGAGCACTGGCTGCTGTTACAGAGGACCCAGGTTTGAATCCCAGTACCACATGGCAGTTAACAACTGTCTGTAATTCCAGGAAACCTGATGCCCTCTTTTGACATCCACAGGCACTGCACAACACTGGTGCACTTACACACATGCAAGCAATACACTCATACACATAAAATAAAAATAATAAATTTTTTTAAAAGATGGTTGGCTGGACCTCCTGCTGGGGAACCAGGAGGCAACTACAACAGGGCATGCTGCCTGGTAATAAATCCTTAATACCAGTCTGGGGGTGCAGCTAAGCAGCAGAGCACCTGCCTCAAATTCACCCACCAGTGGGGGCCTGGGGGTCTGGCTCAGCGATAGAACACTTGTCTAGAATCCACCATTGGGGGGCTTGGAGCTGATGTGCAAAGCTGTGCATTCCATCCCCAGCACCAGGCACAAACACACACACACACACATTCATGTTGACATATTATGATCTTTCAAGGGGTAATAGTAATTAATCTTATATAGCCTGTGTCACTGAATTCTTAAATTCTTACAGCTTAAGAACTAAGGACTATGTCTCCTTTACACTGAGAGGGGAAGAAAAAGGAGGCACCCAGAAGTGAACTGACTTGCACACCCTGTCCCTAGAACACAACCCCACTTCCAAGGTCATCTCAACTCCACCACCCCCGTAAGAACTGCAGCCCTGGGTACAGGAACACCCTGCCCATCCCCTAGGAGAGTCTGGGAGTGTCCTAGACCTCCACAAGCCACAATCTTTCCCCTGACCTTGCCTATCTGATCTATCTACACATCTTACTCACTGCCAGGCATATCTAGCCTCCAGGCAGCCTCTGACTTTGCCCCTCCCACAGAGCCTATGCGAAGGAGTGTGTCGGAGGCAGCCCTGGCCCAGCCCGAGGGCCCGCTGGGCACAGATTCCCTCAAGAACCTGACAGTAAAGGACCTGAGCGAAAATAGCAGCTCGGAGACGTCAGACAGCACCGAGCTGTCGCACTCGGCGGAGACACTCGGCCCCACCACACCGTCCGACGTCAACTTTTTTCTACGGCCTGAGGATTCCCAGGAAGAGGCTGAAGCTAGCGATGAGATGAGCACCATGGACAGAAGCCCTAGCGTGCACAAGGCCTTCCCCGAGGGTTTCCACCCCCGGCGCTCCAGCCAGGGCATCCTCCGCATGCCCCTCTATTCGTCACCCATCGTCAAGAACCCCTTCATGTCGCCTCTGCTGGCACCTGACAGCATGCTGAAGACTCTGCCACCTGTGCACATCGTGGTGAGCGCGGACCCCCGCGAGAACAGAGCCTAGGGCTGGGAGGGGGGCTGCAGGACTCTTGTCTTTTGCAACTTTGTTGAGCCAGAGGCTTGGGCCAGTGGAAAAGATGGGGGCGGGGGTAGCCGGGGTTGGGCAAAGGCTGGGGATCCAGTTTAACTCATTCTCGTTCCCACACCTCCACCTGTTCCCTTCCGTTCTCTCCCCTCGTCCCCACGACCCCCTCCTCTGTCCACCTCGACGTCCTTGTCCATGCGCTTCTCCCTCCCTCCACCCCCGTCCTCTCCAGGCCTGCGCTCTGGACCCCATGCTGGACGACTCCGTCATGCTCGCGCGCCGACTGCGAGACCTGGACCAGCCGGTGACGCTGAACGTGGTGGAGGACCTGCCGCACGGCTTCCTGAGCCTGGCGGCGCTGTGCCGGGAGACCCGGCAGGCTGCGGAGCTGTGTGTGGAGCGCATCCGCCTGGTCCTCACTCCGCCCGCCGCACCCACGCCCGCACCCACTGCGCCGCCGAAGTGAGCCCGAGCGGGACCGCGCCGGGAGACAGGGATGGGGGGGGGGGACACTAAAGACCTCTTGCTCCCACCTGCGCCAGCCTCGTGATGAGTGTGTTCCGGGACGGGCCGTGGGGCCCCGCGAGGGGCTCTGCGCCCGTCGGCTCCCTCCGTGGGGCTGGACGGGAGGGGGCGGGCTGTGCCTTAACTCGGGACATAAAGGGTCGGGGGCAGGGGCCGAAGCTGAGTCTGGGGGAGGGGGACGCACACACACCGGTCACCGAGACAGCTGGACCTGCACTCCACCACTGCCTTCTACTGCTGCTGCGACCTACCACTGCTGGTGGGTTTTATCTTTTGTAAATAAAAGTATATTTAATTAATTTGGCCTTTTTCAAATACGGTGAGATGTTTGCCCAGCAGGGGGCAGCACCGAGTTCAAACGTCTAGAAAAGGGGAAACCTAGTCTGTGAGTTTCTTTTGTTTTGAGACAGGGTCTCACTATACAGCCCTGGCTGCCCTGGAACTCACTATGTAGACCAGGCTGGCCTCTAACTCACCGAGATCCGCCTGCCTGGCAGAGAATCTCATTGACAGACAGCCACCTCCCCCTGGCAATCCAGGTTCAGTGTCAGAAGACACCAGCTTCCAGTGCCTCCCCTTGAAGACCTAACTGTTCCAGGGGAAGTATTCCCTTTACAAAATGAGAGAGAGAGAGAGAGAGGAGAGATGCACATGTACTCCAAAGGCAACATCGACCTAAACCACCCACATAACTAGAACAAAGTTAACAGGAATTCAAAAACAAATTGACTATCAAATCCACCTGAAATCCAAGTTCTATCCACCTGTGATCTTCCTTCAAACCAGCTAGGAAGGTCTGGCTCCCTGTAGACCTTGGATTTAGAGAGAGAACCCAGGGCCTGTCCATCCTAGACTGAGGAAGTCTATGTAGTGGTGATCAGGGAGGGTTTCGGAGGAGGTGACCTTGGCCTTAAAAAATGGAGCACAAATTCACCAGGCAGAGAACCATGCCACAGGTAGCAGGCAGCAATCAAGGCTTCCTCCATACCAGAAAATCAAGTGTAAACTGGGGAGTGGTCTGAGGGGCCCAGCAATCAGCAAGATTGGAGAAGGGCCCAGACTACAATGTGAGCTACAGCTGTAGAGCAGCAGGGATCCCTATCACAGTCACTGAAGGAACATCCTGAGGCACGGCGCAGCACGGGGGATGGACAGAAAGGATCAAGACTGAAGCCTTGAAAGCAAAGGAGGGGGCTGGGGGCAAGAGAAGGAAAGGCCTGGGCTGGGACAGAGGCCATGAGAGTAGAGAGTACCGGAGGAGCATCCCAGAGCCATCAGAGAGGCCACATGAGTAAGACTATTTAAGACAGAGATGGCTCGGCAGTTAAGAGCATTGGCTGCTCTTGCAGAGGACCTGGGTTCAATTCCCAGCACCCACATGGTGACTAACAACTGTAACTCTGGTTCCAGGGGATCCGATGCCCTCTTCTGACCTCTGTAGGCATTGCATAACATAGGTGCCCTTATATACATGTAGGCAATACACTCATACACATAAAATAAAAATAATTTTTTAAAAATTTTTTAAGATCAAGGGTACAAGGATAACTGTTAGGTTTAGCCAGGGAACAAGTAGACAGTGAGGCTGTCTGTTCCTGTGAGGGACCTGGGGGTACAAAATGCTCAGAGCTGTTTCCATGAGACACTGCAGAACATTCAAAAGAGCAGTATGGGAATATGGGGGCTCACTCTAGCTGGGACCCTTCTGGAAAGAATGGGTAGGTGGGGTTGGAGGAGGGCCAGAAAAAGCCCTGAAGCTCATGGTCCACAATAAAGGAGTGGGTCATGGGAGACGCCAGTGCTAGAAGGTTCTGATGATCAGCTGCAGAGGGAGGAAGTGAAGCAGGAAGGAATAGGATGTAAAAGGAGTTTCAGGAGGGAGGGTGTGGTCCATGACAGATGAGAATCAAAATGTTATACTCAGGCCTCAGCCATGACCATGTAACCTCACAGACCTCCTCCACCAGAGCTGTGGGAGGCTGGAATCCAGTTGTAGTGGGCTGAAGAGGAAGAGGAAGATAAAGGATTGAGCCTTGGATAGCACACATCTGTAGAAGTTAAGGGGTTGAGGGACAACTGACAGGAGCTGATGGGGTGAGGGGTGGAAATGATGAAGACAGGTTTTAATCATATCAGAAAGAGACAGAAGATGTAGAAGCACAAGAAAGGCAGCCTGGGATCCCCACCTCACCAGTCCTCATTCACCCAAGACTTCTGAACCAAAACCTCTGATGAAATCCACTCACGGTGGCTCACACCTATAACTCAGCACTTAAGAGGCTGAAGAAGGAAGATTGCCACCAGTTTGAGGCCACCCTGGGCATACATAGTGAATAGTGAGTTCTATTATGTAGCCTAGGAAGGTCCCAAACTGTAGCCCAAAGTGAGACTCTATCTAAAAAAAAAAAAAAAAAAAATCAAGGATTTTTTCAAGGATCAAGAGCCAAAAACAGCCCCTCCCCCCCTTTTTCTTCCACGGCCCTCTCTGGCAACAAATA